CCATTCTCAAGAACTAAAAGAGAATTAACTGAAGAAAGGTGAAACTGGTTAGAATGAATAATTAGCTACATGCTATAGCTAAACTCTGTGATTAAATGAATAGTCATAGGTATGTAGGCAATATATTAATAGTACAGTGTTTGTTAAGAGCATGAAATCTACAACTTAATTGTTTGAGTTCAAAAATGCAACTATTTCCAAGTGATCAAGGTCAATACCAACAGTGGTAAGTCAGATTAACGGTGTGCATCTTTGATATGATGTGATAAAAATGGCATTTTATCTCTGTGGTATTCCTCCCCAAAGCCCATAACCTCAGTCTAATTATGGGAAAACAAACCTCAATTGAGTAAGACATTCTACAAAACACCTGATTAGTATGATTAGTACTCCCAAAACTGCCAAGGCCATCAAAAGCAAGTAAAATCTAAGAAACTGTCATAGCCAAGAGGAGGCTAAGGAGACATAATGATTTAATGTAATGTGATATCTTGGATAGGATCCTGGAACTCAAAAGAGCATGAGGTAAGAAACTAAAGAAATGTGAATATAGTATGGACTTTAGTTAACAATAATGTATCACCACTGGTTCATTACTAGTAACCCATGCACCATATTAACGTAAGATATAAATAACAGGGGAACCTGGATATGGGGTAGATAGGAACTTACTGTAACATATTTGTAATTTTCCTGTAAATGTAAAATGGTCCTAAAAAAATAAAGTTTCTTTTTAAAAAATGCAGTCATTTCACTTACTAACCTTGAGCAAGTTACTTAGCCTTTCTGTGCCTCACTTGACTCATCTATAAAATTAAAATTAGGTTGGTAACGGCAGCAACCTAACTCAAGAATGTGCTGTGAAGACTAAATGAGTTAACATAGTAAAGTGCTTAGAATAGTGCCTCACAGTTAGGAAGCACCTGTTTAGTATCAGCAATGATTATTTGTTAACACAGATGCTCCTTAACTTACGATGGGGTTATGTCTGGATAAACCCAACAAAAATCGAAAATGCACTTTCAACTTAGGATATTTTTTCAACATATTGTGCGTTTATTGGGATGTACCCCATTGTAAGTCGCAGAATGTACTGAATGCATGAGGCTTTTCCATCATTGTAAAGGTGAAAAATTTCATGTCAGGAAGCATCTGTACTTGTAAAGTGCAGTAAAATTGTATGCAAAAGGAGTAAAAATAGCCTGATGATATTAAACTCTAACTTTATAAATGAAATTGAAATAAAATTCCTCCAACTGAAAATATGTCAAAAATTACATAATTTCAAGGTCAGTAAATCAAGGGAAGTATAAACCACGTTTATACTATGGTTACATGTTGGGCCACCATATAGATTTTGCTAGCCCTGGTATGAATTCATCCTCAATTAAGGATCTAGGATCCTATTGCTCACATAAAAGGTGACAGCTCTGTTACTGAAGGTCTAAAATTCCTCATGTTATAAGAAGACTAAGTCTGTATTTTAATACCAAAGTAATGACTTAGATGACTCTCATGGAGAAAAGGTAGCTAGGCTACAGAGGCAAGGTCAAAGTTAAAAGGCGAGAAACTTTTAAATCACTTAGGTGGATGGTAGTAGAAATTACCAGAAGTCTAAGACTCAGACAGACATCTTTCCTTGTTAGAATACAACTGATAAAACATGACCAATATATGCTGCCTCTTAATTCCTGCTTTAAACTGTCCAGATCCACCGTGGTTAATGAGATTCTGAGTATGTAAAACCACTTAGCTGTCTTCCCCTTTTCCTAATAACTCAAAATTTCAGTTTAAGTTCTGAAATTCATGTAAATATTATGATGGTTAAAACAAGTAATTAGTATATCATATGTATTTCTTCATTATGTCTTTAACATTTTAAGATATCAATCTGTAGTATGCTCAGAATGTTTACTACATATTTACTATATATTACTTGCAAAATATTATATAAGAAAAAGAATTGTTCCAAAGTTATATAAAAAAAAATTGATGAGGCCAGATGTGGTGACTCACACCTGTAATCCCAGCACTTTGGGAGGCTGAGGTGGGCGGATCACTTGAGGTCAGGAGTTCAAGACCAGCCTGGCCAACATGGTGAAACAGTGTCTCTACTAAAAATACAAAATTTAGCCAGGCACATGTCTGTAGTCCCAGCTACTTGGGAGGCTGAGGCAGGAGAATGGCTTGAACCCGGGAGGCAGAGGTTGCAGTGAGAAGAGATCGCGCCATCGTACTCCAGTCTGGGTGACAGAGCAAGACTCCGTCTCAAAAAAAAAAAAAAAAAAATTGATGAATGTCAGTGTGACATTAACAGTGACAGGCTTTGATTTGTTTACAGTAGATGAACAACTACTTAGAGAAGTCTGACTGCTCACTTAATCAAAAAGCTGAGTGCAAATAAATGTATCTTTATGACAAGGTCAAAGACTCAGCCAGGGCATTGAAGGAAAATATAAAAATCAGATCTATTTAATCTAGAAAAAAAATAGAGAAAAAGAATGTACACACAAAGGACTTTTCTAAAATCTTCAATGTTTGTTTTTTTCCTTATTTGCAATAAGAAGATTGAAATTTCAAACCATCTAAAATATTAAATTGCTTTGAAATATTTCCCCTCATATCTAAAAATTAAAAACATTTTGTCACAGTACATTTTATTTTTGAAATTTTATTTTTGGAATAGTTTGGTCACTGAAGATGTAAACTGTCTACACCCGTTTTACTTTGATGAGTCTTCTTGAGTAGCATTTTTTAAACAACTTCATTTATTTTAGATTTTTTTAAATGTCATTTTATTTTTATATCTCCTATAAATTAAAAATGTCAATTTAAAATTATTGAAGAATGCACATAGCAATCTCTCAGTCAAAAAAGGATAATCTTTTTATTTCATAATGAATAGCCCACCAAGATATTTCTGTATGCATACTAAAGAATAGCTTAATTTTATTTCAGTAATCATTAGCCATGCAAACTACCTTTGTTGTAAGGAATTATAGCAACCAATGTGTGTAAAATTTTTCCAAGATTACACATGTATAAAAATTTTATATTCACATTATAATTTCTCCAGTAGAGTTTCTTATGTTAAGAGTTTCTTATGTGATTTTACTTATGTTGGTAAATAAATGTTTTATTTTTTTAATTTTGTTAAAATATTCTTGATATTTTGATTTTCAAATGAAACATTTACTGTTTGGTTCTCCACAAAAATAATGAATCTTTTACTATATAAATTGTTCTCTTTATGGCAACAAGTCTCCAAAGAAAATACAAACAATGAAACCACATTAGCTCAATTGATTTCCAAATTAAATTATTAGTGGCTTCTATTCCCTTAAGATAATGCCAAGTCATGAACTAATTCAAAAAAATTTAAATTAAATACACTATTTACCTACATACAGATATTCCCCTCTCCATTACACAAATGATGACAGATGACTAGAGTATACATTTTTTATCCTTCCAATTCCACATTCTTAAGGTTAGAAGAGGAAAAGGTGGTAAATATCCTCAAGTAAGCTATACTTAAATATATAAATTCATTTTGTCTCAATCCATATGATGCCTACATCATTAATAACCAACTTACAAATTACAAGTGTTATCAAAAGCTGCACAGAAATTTTAAAAGAAAAATATAATAATCAAATTAGACAAATGATGTTATTTGTGCCTTTAAATATTTAGAAATATTTTTGAATGAAGATGGATGAGAAAGATGACTTTCATGTTCTAACTTGTTACATAATCTTACTGTAGTTTAAACTGATCAATAAGAAAATCCATTTCAAAGATAAAGCCAGATTCCAAGAAAAAGGTAGATAAAGTCACTATGAAATTACCAATTTTTTCCTTTTTCTTCTAACTGATTTCCCCTTCTTCCTGTCCCCTTTTCACCAGATAATCACATCTAGCCCCTCTACATTTCCTTAAACTTTCCTGAAGGAATGTCCTTCATTTCCTTAAATAGCACACATTTCAGTGAAAGTGAAGGTAACAGGAATTAGTAGCTGTCATCTTAGAGACATGTTACTCAGTATTCTCTATATTAGTCTGGAGAGCTGTAACACAGGCAGGACAAAGAGAAATAACCATAAGAAAAATATTATTGACAACTACAATTGCGTCAAAAAATTGGTAACTACAATGTGCATCTCTTTGTAGAACCTTTCCTTTTCATTAAATTAAAAAATGACTCTATAATCTGTTATAAACTAAAATGTCACATAAAATTTCATACTATAGAAATGTTTTCTGTAGTTTTGATATGAATATAGAAGGTTAATGAATGAAGCAAACCACAGGCAATGATACAGGAAATTGCTACTGTATATTATTTTCAAAGCTGAGCCAGATCTATATATAGAACACAAGATATTTCAAAATGAATGCTATTTGTTGTCTTTGTAATTTTACAGAATATTAGAACATTAAAAAAATCCTAGAAGTATCACATGTTCATACCAGGATATATGTGTATGCAGATGTACATATACAATCAGATTTTAAATAATAAATATTAAATTATTTAAAAACATTATAGAGCTATACCCCCACACCCCTTATTCTAACAGTAAGAAAATAATCAACCTGCATGAACTGGAATCAGATTCATTTTCTTCTTCACTAGTGCCATCATCCACTTCTGGTCTATCCAGCCAATGTGCACCGCCACAATCTTCTGCTGTAAACTCAAATGCAGGGACTTCAGAGGTGGATGCCATTGGCCAAGAAGGTGAATTCTGAAAATCCAGTTGGCTGGACCTTCGGTAACCAATTGAAGCCAAAGGCAATTGTAGGCTACATGGATCTAAAAACTTTCTCCCACCGTTTGCGCCAGTCTGTCCTCGGTTCCAAAATTCTCCCTGCTGGCTGTCAACTGTAGAATTAGGAGATGATGCTTGATGGCCAAACCACCTCCATCTGATTTTCAAAATCTGTTTCACATCAAACTCTTTACGAGAACCAGACATCCTCAGAGAAACCAAGTGATCGTCTAGGCAACGGGCAAAAAGCACTGCACACAGATTTGTGCATCCAACCAAGACAAGAGAAGTATATGCCCTGCTGTACACAACAAAAAGATGTAAAGGAAAATAAATCACATTTATATATATATCTACAATTACTTTTATGCCAATATATCAGATTTTAAAGAACAAAGGATAATGAATAAAGATGAAACACGGTGGAACATTCCATTCAATCAGAGCAAACTCTCATCCACCTATCCTGAAGCAGCTAGACCACTTTCCTGGCTCTCCTTTCCCATACTGACCATTAGGTCTCACAAACACTGACAGCATTCATTAAAGTCCTTTCAAATGCAGAACACCACCCCCTTTTTCTTAAACCACAAATGACAGAGACAGAAAACACTATCCCCGTTGCAGTATCTCAGTCTCCGCTGCTTACTATATTAACTCTTTTATTGCTGAAACTCTATAGCATTTCCCTTTGTACTTAAAAATAATCACTTTAAAACTAAAATGTTTCTATTTCTAAACTAAGTCCCTAAGTGAAATACCACAAAACAAGTTTTTAAAAAAGCATTTGTAAAATTAGATGAGTTATGGTGATTTTTCAAGCTGTGCTCTTTGGGTGGGGAATGAGGAGGAAAGGGGAGTACAAAGGTGGGGCTCCAGATTGTTGCCTTCACCTCTATCTTCTCCCTTCGTAAAACAAACGGATCTAATTAATATAGTAAGATCCTGGGTAAGATTTCACTTGGATAAAGAATAATAAGTCTGAAAACCAGAAAGGATCAAAAAGTAACAAATACTATTTTTCAAATAAACTGAGGCCAGGAATTCTCTATAAGTAGAAATGGGCCACTGCCAGTTAGTATAATATCCAAATGTCTATGACATTACTTAGGAAAAGGAAAGTGCGGCTCAAAAAAGCTACCAGGGACTGGGATGGGACTATTGGGTGTACAAGTGCCCTAATGGTGCCCTCTGTTGTTAGCAAAACAAACAATGGTTTGAACATGGTTACAGTTAAGGCAAATTGATAAAGCAAATAAAAATAAATCAAACTAAAAAATACTGAGTAGTTATTGCGAACAATGCAATCTACTAGGCATTGTCAGGGACACAGAGATATATACATCTTGGTTCCTAACCCCCAAAATAATTAAATCTAGCTATCGAACCAAATACAAAATATTTGATAAGGTAAAATAAGAAACATTAAAATGCTGCAATATTAAAGTGTGATCTATCAATGCAGAATTTGAGTTTTCAGGGTGCTCAGAATTTACTCCTTTATCAATTAATTCCATACAAAAGGCAATGCCTATGTAAGCTGACCAAAAAAAAAAAACAAAAAAAAAAAACAAAAAAAAACTACTTTGGAGGTTTACAAAAATATTGTGAGGCATATATCTTAACCTCACACAACTCTTTAGGAGAATACAAATTATTCAGAGAAACAAGAATGAGAAGCATAAAAAGCCAAGTACAATTTCATGCTAAATAATACGGGGAAAACCATAAAAACTGTATGAAAGAAAGGAGATATCAGGATGGCAATGGATGGTATGGGCCAGTTTCATTAGGGAGAAGGCTGCTAAGAATAGTAAAATGTTGTTTAGGTAGAATGACAGATTTCTATGGGAAAAGATTCTAATAAAAGCATGAGGTGGGCATATCTACAAGGAAGAAGTGGGAAATAATCAGTTTGATCAGCCAGCCATACCTAATTAATTTTAAGGTGTAGTAAGAGATGAAGTTAGATGAATACAATGAGATAAAATGCCTTGAGCATGCAGCAAAGGCATTATTGAATGGACTGTTGAACAGGACAATGTTTTAGAAAGTTAACTTGGCGGTACTGTGCAGGACGCATTAGACAGTGAAATGACACTTTCCCCTCTCCTCTCACCTTTGTCAGACTCCTTCTGATCAACACCCTTCTAACTTCACTCTACCTATCCAACTTTATTTCTAACTATTTTCCAACATAGACACACCACTTCATCGGTCAAGGCAGTCTACATTATGGTGTTCCTTCTTTTATAACACTGTTTGCCTCCCAGAGAAACTCTGGTTTAAAAAACACACTTCATCCTTCAAGGTTTAGCTCAGGCACTACCATCTTGGTAAACACTTCAATTACTCTAAGTAGGTGGTTCTCAACAAGGGAAGCACCAACCTGCTCCTAAAGGCTTCTGGAAAATGGGTAGTGGTGGTGGTGGTGGTGGTAGATTTTTAGTTGTTGGAATGACCAGAGAGTGCTATAGGCATTGAGTGGGCAGGAGCCAGAGACAGCAAACATCTGGCAATGAAAGATACCTTTATTTTGTCAATCCTCCTCCACTCATTCCCATGGTAATCATTGTTGACGCCAAGCTTGGTACATACAGCCTTTCACACCTCTCTCCATGTTTAAAAATCATGGACAAACTTATATACACATATATAGGAGTTTTTGCTATTGCTATAAGACAGATCATATTGTATTCATCTTTTAGCATTTTGCTCTTCTCATCTAATTTTATATATACATGGAAATAATAACCTTTTTAAGAGTTACATGATATTTCACTGCTGTAAAAAAACAATTTATTAAACTATCTCCTTGCTAATGGGCATTTAGGTTGATTTCAGGTTTTGGGGTTTTTTGCCATTAAAATAATGTTGAAAGAAACATCCTTGTGAGGCTTTTATATCTACAGAATTTATTCCCAGGAGTGGACCTGCTGGGTTGAAGGTATGTGTATTTTATTTTATTTTATTTTATTTTATTTTATTTTATTTTATTTTATTTTAAGACAGAATCTAATTCTGTCACCCAGGCAGGAGTACAGTGGTGCAATCTTGGCTCACTACAGGCTCCATCTTCCGGGTTCACGCAATTCTTATGCCTCAGCCTCCTGAGTAGCCGGGACTACAGGCACGCACCACCATATCCAGCTAATTTTTTATGTTTTTACTAGACATGGGGTTTCTGGAGTGCAGTGGCATGATCTCAGCTCACTGCAACCTCCGTCTCCCGGGTTCAAGCAATTCTCCTGCCTGAGCCTCCTGAGTAGCTGGGATTACATGCGTGCGCCACCATGCCTGGCTAAGTTTTGTATTTTTTCAGTAGAAATGGGGTTTTACCATATTGGCCAGGCTAGTCTCAAACTCCTGACCTCAACTGATCCGCCCGCCTCGGCCTCCCAAAATGCTGGGATTACGGGTGTCAACCACCGTGCCTGGCCATATTGTCTTTTTAATTTTAGTCATTCTGACAGGTGTGTAATGGTATCCCATTTGGTTTTCCTTAACATTTTCTTCATTATTAATGTGGCTGAGTAACTCTTCATGTTTACTGGTCATTTGGATATCCCCCATGAAGTGGCTATTTAGGCCTCTATTTTTTTTTTCTATTAAGTTATCAATCTTTATCTTCTTGATTTGTAGTTCTTATATTTCTGATATTTCTTTATAAAAAATATGAAGTAAGCTTAAACATTAATGCCTTTATGGAATGAAATTCAGCATTTACTTAAAAAACACCTTTTCTTCTGTTCCAACAACTTTCACCAATATAAAATTATTTTGCCCCAAAATTTATCCAGCTCTGATGACAAGTATTTCCCAGGAAAATTATTTATAAAAGATCAGTATGTATTAAAAACCATTACATTGTTAAATTATCAAAATGGTCTTCACTGACTACTCTCTGTAAACTAGACCCTTCATCATTCACAAGCCCGCTGACCCTCCTAATTTTTTTCATAGCGCTTACCACCACCTGGCATATTAGATGTTTATTTGCTTATTGTCTTTATCCTCACTACAAAGTAAGCTCAAGTGGAGCTTTGTTTTGGTTATGACTGTAATCCCAGCACTTATAATAGAATAGTACCTAGGAGACAGTAAGTGCTCAATAAATATTTCTCTAATGAATACATAAATTATTCAACAATTATAAGAGCAATAATAAAATTCAACAATTGTAAGAGCAATAATAAAAGTAGATACTTACACTGTCTATTTTTTAAATTATAAAATAAATTAAGAATCTAATTTTAAAATTACAGACACATTTACCTTGGTGATAAAATCTTTCTTTTTTTTTTTTTTTTGAGACAGGGTATCACTGTGTCACACAAGCTAGAGTGCAGTGGCTTGATCTCAGCTCACTGCATCCACAACCTCCTGAGCTCAGGTGATCCTTCCATCTCAGCTCCCACGTAACTAGGACTACAGGCACCCGCCACCACACCTGGCGAATTTTTGTAGAGCCAGGGTTTTGCCATGTTGCCCAGGCTAGTCTTGAATTTCTGAGCTCAAGTGATCTACCCATCACAGCCCCCCAAAGTCCTAAGATTACAGGCCTGAGCCACGGTGCCTGGCTGGCAAAATCATACAGTATTTTTTCAACTTAGGAGAAAAATCACAATGTTATTCTAAGAATTTCTTTTTTCTATTCATTCTTAAGGCATAAAATTCTATCACTTGAAATCCAATGGCTAAACAGCAGATGTCTTTTCAAGTGGACACACTTTCTTCAAACTAATTACAAAATTATATTCTGTACCTCTGATTTTATAACCTTGCTTTATTTCAGGTTGAACTTGAGATACAAAAGCTCAAGTATTATTTAAAATAGATAATATGTGTCAATTATGAATACATTTTTCAAAATGTAATTAAAGGACCCATGTGCAATTTGTTTCAAAACTGCTCAAATCTTAGTCTGTGAATTTAAAAGATGACACTATTCAGTATTACAATAGAAACACTGAAATGTCATTAAGATAGACTGAAGGTGAGCTAACTTTAACAGCGTGGCTTTTAAAGCTATGTCTTTACTCAATTTAAATCATGGCTATTTGGTAGCTAGTTTATATTACTAATCATCATTATATCAATCTCTCTTCACATAGAGTTTTTTAGGTAACAGTATTTACGGCTCATCAATTTTAATAAATCTATTTCTAAAGTTTTAAGTGTGTGATATACACTGCATTAAAAAACATCAAGAATTTTACCATACTAACCCAGCAGCTCTCACCTCTCTGTTTTTCCTCAGTTATAAAAAGAGTAAGTTGCATTGCATGATTTTGAAGAGCCCTCCAAAGTTTAATAATTCTGGGATACTTTTTAAATTTTGTCAAATTAGGTCTATCAGAATTTGATTTAAAATATTTGAATATTAATATAATTCTACCAGCATGTAAATTCCCTAACACTTAAAAATGTATGATGGTGGAAAATTTCAGTTAATTATTTACCCTAAATGATTTGAGATCTACTTTTACTAAACTTGATTTTAATTCTAGAAATAACACCAGATATTCTCTACTGCTTCTCCATTCTCATAAAAAGCAAACATTATAAATGTAAAAAATATACTGTATTTCTATAAATGCAACAAATCTTTTGTTCTGTAAGCAGAAC